ATTCAACCAAACTATTTCTGACTCAAAAAATTTCTTCAAGTCTCATATAACCCACGTTGCAAAGCCCTCATTATGGTTGATATCCTGATTGTCCACAGGTTCCTCCCAAACTCCAAAGCACCTATGCACCTTCAGACCCAAGCGGAAATAAGCGCGTTAAAACCGCTTTCGTGCAGCCGCTGCCTTGCAAAGATTTGTCTGCCTCATTACGCAAAACCCGGTCGCCTTGGTCAATGTGTCGTCGCAATGTGTCGTCAGGGGGTAATGCGTCGTCAGGGAATGTGTCGTCGCAATGTGTCGTCACCGGGGAATGTGTCGTCAGGGCGCAATGCGTCGTCACGGAATGCGTCGTCGCAATGTGTCGTCACCGGGTAATGTGTCGTCAGGGGGCAATATGCGTCCTCAGGGAATGTGTCGTCACCGGGGAATGTGTCGTCAGGGGGTAATGCGTCGTCAGCCAATGCGTCGTCGCAATGTGTCGTCACCGGGGAATGTGTCGTCAGCTGGTAATGTGTCGTCAGGGAAGGCGTCGTCACAATGTGTCGTCAGGGGGGGTTGTGACGTTAGGGAATGTGTCGTCGCAATGTGTCGTCGGCCTGTATATATATATATATACACTTTGATTTCTCTCCACACCCACGACTGCGTCCAGGACCGGACCCGTTTCTTTGTAACGACCATTCGAAGGGTTGGTATTGGTTTTGTACGAACTCACTTCCGTTCCAACATCCTCTGACTGAAGGTACCATGGATCTTTGTGGGTCAAGGGAGACAAAGAAAAGGCCGCGGATGCTCTGGACAGTATGTCCGCAAACCGCTTGGATACCTGGTGTGGAGAGGGATACAAGGAGCCACAATGGACATGGGCATGTATACCCTAGGGATCCACATACCTTCTCAGAAGGTAATTGGACCCTCAAAGCCTACATAAATAGTCTCCAATCACCTTCTTATAGAAGGTATGTGGATCCCTAGGGATTGACCCCTGAATGGACATGGGCATGTATATTTTAAAGAGGGGATTAGCCAGTCTTTGAGGCATCCGCGGTGATATACATGCACACCTCAATGTTCATAAGGATCCAGTCGTACCCTCGTTTCGGTGGGACTGGGGGGCCCGGGTGCCATGTTCGGGTCCAGTCGTACCGAACTTGAGGAGGTACGACTGGATCCCAAACGGGAATGTTCATCATTGTCTTACAGCTCTCATCGAGAAGGTCAGTGTTTTTTGACCGCGAAAGGGCCCTGAAAATAGTCAGCCGCATAGCGCACGCCGAGGCTGAAAACGGTTAGGTGTTGAATCACACATGCTAAGCCCTAGGGCTCCAAGTACCTTCTGAGAAGGTGTTTGGGGTGGGTTTGGAGGGTCCAAACACCTTCTGAGGAGGTACTTGGAGGTGTAGGGACATGCTAAGGTAATCCCACCCCCAGCTGAATCTTAGCCTTCCTTCTAGACATATGTTTTCCACAATGGAAGTGGAACACAAAGCTGCAAAGCAGTGTAAAGCAAGAACATGTTCGTCATTGTCCGATGCGGAGTGCTGGTGTTCTCCCCTTCGAAAGGGGGTGCTGGGTCCATCACATGTTAAGAAGTCTTGACCAAACCACGCCCTAGGATTCCATAGGATTTCAATCACCATTAATTTCAGTGGCTTGGCCGAACAGCCATTGTTTTACTTAGATTTAACAAGACCAGGTCAGCAGCCATTACTTAAAATGGTCTTGGAAGGCCAGGGTACCGAAAATCTGGACTTAAAGAATGGATGCACCGGATATCACCGGATCCTTAGCCACATACCAAACCCGTAAAGAGTCTTCGTTGGATGTTGCTTTTTCCTTGGGGCCCCGGCAAGTACCATCAGATGAACAAAAAGAAAAGCAAGAAGCATATTGGTTGTGTCGTTTGTCGAGATACAACCAAGTACATTTGCTTTGAGATACCCAACCTTTTTTTTCAAATAAACGCTATCACCCCAACTTGCGTTGCAACCCTCCTGTTAGTATTTATCTCCAGACTCACTTCAGGTCCAAGACCAGCCATCGATGTCCGACCATTCGAGACGTTGGTTTCCTTCGTCGGCAAAGCGCTTCCGTTCGATCCTAAGAAGAGACCGGTGGACCGAACCGGCACATGGGACATATCGGGCGCCCAACAACCCAAACAACATAAGAAGTAATAACAAGCCAAACAAGAAACAGGTCAAGCCTCAGGCTAGGTATACTTGATTGTAATTGTTTATATATTGTTGTGTTCCCGATGTATGAACAGGGTATATTGCTGGAGATCTCCTGCGGTTGGCACTCGCACTCCTCTACTTCCGAGTGCCACGTGGTGTTTGAGATCCACAAATCGACGGCTTCCAGGCGGCGCCGGCGACGCCGCGTTCGAAGGTGGAAGGTGACTCATGCCGCGAACGGGCTAAGTCCCTCAACATCCCCTAACCATGGTGACTGGTGAATATGTTTCCCTAGGGATCCAAGTACCTTCTCAGGTACGGTGATTGGAGACTATTTATGTAGGCTTGGAGGGTCCAAGTACCTTCTGAGAAGGTATGTGGATCCCTAGGGTTTATTTGTTGTCCAGGTTGAACAGCAAATTGAAGGGTGCCCACGGTTCAAACTCACATGGAACCTGAAGGTTGACCGGTGGAAGACCATTTTCCTCCACAACCCAGTGGTTTTGGGGTTCCAATGTTAATCTGCAGGGGTAGTAGGTTGTTTTGTTGTTTTTTGCAGCGGTCACTGGGTCAAGACCTTTTCCGCCCATCCGCGGGGCCCCACTTTGAGCCTAAACCTGGGTCGCGGTGCAGGACTCTCTCCTGCTTACTTTCCTTGCGGTGTGAGAAGGATGATGCAGAGGAGCGTTCCAAGTTGGGAGGAAGGGGGCCTTATATGGCCTCATGTTCCGTGGAATTGATGAAAAAAAGCGGCGCAGGGCTGCGGGGTTGACCCACCGAAAAGCAGGGGGAAGGCTTGCCGTGGGGTTGCAGCTCTAACGCCTGGAGGGCGACCTGGAGTCACCTCGGAGTCAACCTTGTGACTAGTAGCTTCTTGTTACTAGTAGCAAGGCCAGGAGCGCCCCGTTCGTAGCTTCTTGTTCCGTCCGCTCCGAGAAAAATGGATACAAAGATTATGTAAAGCCAAGACCCGGGAAGAGCCCTGACCTCGTTCCGGGATCTGGTTCCTTTGGTTTCATTCTCCAAATTGAAGGGGTTGCTATTCATCAAGACTCACTGTTTCTGGCACGTCGGGCCCTGTCCCTCGAGCCGTTTTTGGTGCACCGGCCCCTTCAAGGGGTTCCAACCCCGCTCAGAAGCGGGCTTTTCAAAGGATCCACGGGCTGGACCCGCTATATCCCGTTCATACCTTCGACAATGGGACAGTCGACTGACCCAGATACAAAACAGATACCAAGAGAATGTTTTTTTTGGTCCCTAAGAATCCGGGCCCTCAAACAGATAGGGTTGGCTTCGGGCCCGGACCCCTGCGTTTCGGTGTCGGGTCCGACCCCTGCCATGGAGAGCCCAAGGATTCTTAGGGGTGACCTGATATACAAGACCTATACTTACTCTGTACATGCAAACAGTGAGTCTTGATGAATAGCAACCCCTTCAATTTGGAGAATGAAACCAAAGGAACCAGATCCCGGAACGAGGTCAGGGCTCTTCCCTACTGGGCTACCTACCGGGGTCGTCCAATTCCTGGGTCGTCCTGGCTAGCTCGACGACCCAGCCCACTAGAGCTGGACACGCAGACAGGATTCCTGGGATGTGAGAGTATACCGTTGGGTTCTTCAAGCTTTGTTGGTCTACGACATCCAACTGAGATAGAAACAGAGGTACCCATTGAGACTTACCAACGGTCCCAATGGGTTCCTCAGTCTTCAACCTCTGTTGGGTTCTTCATCCTCTGTCCCATTGACGGTTTAGTGTCGGGTTCGACGACTCCGCTTTTGTGGTCGGTTGAGTTGTCGCTGGATGACTCAGCGGGCCTTTTGAACGCTATAAATAAACCACACAAAAGACTAGTAGCTCGATGTTTTGATCAATGATGTTGTTTTGTCTATGATGGATTTGGGAGTTCTTGGCTTTCACCAGTTCCTTTCCTTTGGCACCTGATCACATCCTGCTTATCACATCGCTGTCTATCGCAGGAGCTGAACGAGCTCTATCGCTTGCTTTGCCAGAAGCTGCAGGTGTCGTTCAACTGCGTCTGTGCCATTCGACTGCGTGCGACTGCGTCTGTGCCATAACGACCTCCAACCTAATAGCGATTGCCTCCAAGCTACTGTAATAGCGTTCTTGTTCCCCCAAACAGGAACTGACCTCGTTTGACGGAGATTTTTGGGGTTAGGAACTGACGTTCACACGATGAAATAGGATGATAGAGAGACCAGGTTTTACTGGGTCAGACTGGACTTGTAGGATTCTGTGCGGGAGTTGCAACAGGGTTTTATTGTCACTCCCTATGGATCCACATACCTTCTCAGAAGGTCATTGGAGACTAGGACTCATGAATCATGAAACTAATTGTTGGCTAGTTACGTGTTCAACACATCAAGTTACTTTCGAACCTCATCCCCAAGTCTGCAAAGACAAGATTCGACAAGATTCCTTTGCTTGGCTGTTTGAAGCCTGCATCATCACAATAGCAGGCTCCCTTGAACTTGCAAGCGGCATTTGCGCTGGAATGACCCTGTACTACCTTAAATTTGGTATATCAAGTTGTATCATGTCCCAGACCATCCATGTATTGAATTGTGACATACATTTGGGTCACAAATGGGGTGAATGTATGTAACTATTCCATACATGGATGGTCTTGGTTTAGTCATGAACAATGGAGATCATTGAGATTACTCAAACATATGATATAACGATAGGTGGACCCAGCTTCTGCTTCTTTTGCAGCTGGCTCAAGGCAAATCGAGGGCCAAAACATGGAACACACAGACAAGAACGGACATGTTGTAAACCATGTTTCTGTATTTGTGTTTGTTTCCTGACGGTTCGCAGAAATCGGTGCGCCCGATGTTCAGCTGTTGCCTGCAGCCCAGTGTGGAGGTGGAGAATGAGCACGAGCTATTTGTATCCGGGCACGTTGAAGCGGAGAGCAGGCATCTACAAAGATGGTGGTGGGCAGAACAGGCGATGATTGACCAAACAGATGTCGTACCTGGACCCTCCAGTTCGTACCTAGCCATGACCCTATACAAACAGGTACTACTGTAGCATTTGCCGAGGTACGGACTGAGACTCGATTCCAGGTATTGATTTGGTGGTGAACTAGCTCAAAAGGGGAGACCACCCCCAGGCAACGACCTCCTTTTCAGAAGGAAAAATCGACCAATCTACTCCTTCAAACCCCTTGACCAAGGTAGGAAGTACGTGAAAGTCTCCCTGTTGGAACACACCACACCCACTGTGACTCCTCTTGACTCGTCCCATTCATTTCACGAAACCCGCAGGTGAGCTTTGCGAGCATGAGAAGATGCAAAGAGCAGAAGAAGAACTCATCGTCGGTCAAGTATCGTCGTCGACACCTACGTGGTGAAGAGGCTCCTTGGCCTTCCTGTGAAAGATAGAGTGTGCAAGAAGGCTTTCTATTGTTTGTCCAATTGGCTTTCTTTTGGCTATCCAGTTTCAAAAAACAGAGGGTGAATACGGTGAATGCCTTGCCTGAGAAAGTGAATGCCTTGCAGCCAGGTTTGCGTGCGGATCTCCAAGAAAGAGCTTACAGGACCTCCGCAAGAGTTCATGAAGGACAGCATATTAGCTGGCAAGGTCACATCGTACACTGAGTTTCGGGAGCCCCTCTGGCCTTTTTGTCGCTTCATGTACGAAGGCAACCCTTTTTATCATACGTCTCCTGGGAGTTGTTGAGCCCTACCTGGAGTAGTTGAAGTACGACCACCCACTCGAAGTACATGGGACATGACCCGAGTAAGAAAGAAGCAAGTACCAGACTCCAGGTAGTTGCATTTGTTCATTGTTTTGTGCGCAACCACAAAAGCACACTTTCCAGCCACACCTCTTTTTCTCGTTTGCAAATTCTCTCTCAGACATGTTTGGTGGGTAGTGGAGAGATGACCCAAAGGTCAAGACCAACATACGAAATGAAACACGCACACTCGCAACGTCCAATTTCTGGCTAGCAAGACATGCTAGAATACAATATTCTTATTATATTGAAATGATTGATCAAGTATATATGTTGAGTCAGTATAATACACAGCAAGGTTCAGCAGCAACGATTTCTTTTGAGCCCCAGGTATGCTTTGTTGGACATCAATTTCGGTGAATTTCAGCTGGTGCTGGAGCGCGTTGACCAGAAGATCGAGATGTTGGTGGCGGAGGGCATGGTTTCTTGGTGAAGTCGGCCAGAACTGACCCGACTGACCACGGAGCGCGGCGACCGATTGGGGAAGGGTTTGGTTCGGGTCCAGACCCTAGCGGGTGAAAGGACCATCCGTGCCAGCCACCCGACTTCACAGGTCACCTAGGACTTTTTTGTCTAAAGCCACCATTTCGGAGACCTGTTTCAGAGTGCTACCCAGTAAAACCTGGTCAACTTTATATTCTGTTACGTTATAACCCACGAGGTCATTTACCTGTACAGGGCCTTTTGAATTCTTTGGTTTCATGCGTATACTCACCGAAACCATTCGAAACCTTCCTCCCTTTCCGAGGGGATCGAAGGTTGGCTCACCCGAGTGGGGATCGGCCCGAGATCTCGGCATCGTCCGGGCACACAGGACCGGTTTGGTCCGCACCGAGGAGTGAGTCGACCCGGGTACCGTTGATGGGAGAATTCCATAGAGAACCGACGAAATCGGTGGTTTGTTCCGGTCATGTGCCATGTGATCAGGTCGGATTCGACCCGGTACGAACTGGAGACTCCAGGTACTTGTGGGACCCCCCTTGTTTTTTCTCCGAGCTTCTGAACTTTCGTACCTGGACCCTTTCTGGGTGATGTCACTGCATGGCGCGCACGACCGGCTTAGGATCTTCTTGGATTCACTCAACATTTCATGGCCTGCAGCCAATCCAGGGCAGTCAATGGCATTCCGGAACGCACCAGGCATGTGAAGAAGCACATCACCGTAGCCTGGTTTCGCGGATGAGATGTTTTTGTTATTTTCACGAACTGGGTAAATCCCCTTGTGGTGAATAGGTAACTTTGTCCTGGCTGGACAGCAAGTCCAAGGTAAAAGATGTGCTATCGTGGATGGGTGGGTCATTGGCAAGCCGATGGGAACGATACAGCACTTTGTTCAACAACTGCCAACATTTTCAAGCAGAGCTACAAGTGACTGGGCGAGAAAAGCAGAGCTGTGGACTCTTGGGAGTTGGGTGAAGCAGAGCTCAATGCTCAAAGCCCTGCATGGACTCTTGTAGTGCGGGCTTCAGGGGCTTCAACTGGCGTTTCAACGCGTTTCCTTTCTGGGTCGTACCTCCTCAGAAGCAGGAGCCTCCAAACCCCAGTCCCACCCTCGAAGGGATTCCAAGAACTATCGCGGACCATCCATGCATGGCATATATGTACCTACATTGGGGTGGTTCTAGGGGTCCGTACCTGCATGGCCTGGGTCTTGTTTTAATGGTCTTAAGTCTTGCTCTTTGAGTACCCAGACCTTGCTCTTTGACGAGTCCGGCGACTTCCAGCCGCCGCGTGGTGAATTCCTCAATCGAGCATTGGCGCTCGAAAGTATCCGGCAAGATCCGACACGATTGGTTTTTTTTCCCCAAGAATCTGCGCGCAGACGCTTGGCTGAAGCTGCTCAATAGTTGCTATAACTGTATGATGTTTTAGCATGGTCTTGACGTAACCCCTCAAGATCTATTGAACCTATTGACGCCTCCTCAAGCTGCCTAGCTTGATGATCCACCGTGAACCGATCTGTCACTGAACCGGTTCAGACTGAGAGTGATTTTTGTTTTCATGTGTTGTACTTGGAAACCCGCAAGGACCCGGAGCTCGTTCAAGCAGCTGGGGGCCTCCCCAACCTGCTGAGACAGAGCTGCCGCCCAACTTCACACTGGAATCCAAATGCAAAGAGACCAGTGTAGTGAACGCCGCTTGAACCATAGGCCACCGTTGGCCACGACAGATCGATTGAATTTCAACACAAAGCCATCACAGAGGCACCGTTTCAAGGCTCAATGCCAGCGCAAAAAATTGGTGAGTGGATCTCGGATGATGGTGGCTACGGCCTTGAGTTGATTCGGACCCCTCTCCGAATCTTTTGGAGGATGGGGGGGGGGTGTGAGGTGGAGCTCCAGGAGGGCCGCAGAATGAACCGGTGTTCCTGGTCCAGGGCTGGAGCTCCCGGCGCCCCGGTCCCAAGCTCAGGGTGCTGGACAGGTTCTCGGCCCAGAGACAGCGTGGACACATCGTTCCATGGTACGGTTCCGGCGCGGTTGAGACCATGACATGCCCACGATTCATCCATCCGGGCCCCTTCACCCCTCCCGTGTTTCGGTGTTTGGTAAGACCATGGAGGGCCCAAGGATTCTGAGGGTGGTACACAGAAGTGATGCAATCACTGACCACTGGCTTTGTGATCCGTTGGGTGTGGATGTGAAAGGTTTGCGCAAAACTCTTGGGCTGATTGGTCAATTACTACTTGGTTGTGAGTCCCAACCTCCCCCCGTAAAATCATGGTAGGGTGGTAGTTTTTGAACCCTTCATCCCAAGTCTTTGAACAAAGCTCTTGACCCCTTCTTCATCCATATGTGTTTTGAACCCTTCATGCCAAGTATTCGAGCAAAGCTTTGGAACCCTTCTGAACCCTTCATTCCAACGACTTTGAACCCTTCATCTCAAGTCTTTGAACAGAACTCTGGAACCCCTCTGTGACCCTTACCAGGCCCTCTAAATCGACACCCAACCTCTAGGACTCGAAGGTAGCCTGGCTATTAGTTAGACACCCCGCTATAGGGTGCCCTGGTATAGTTTATGTCGTCTATACCCGTGGACCTCAAAAACCATGGAAAAAGAACGTTGATGGGTTTGCTAGGCATTTTGGTATAAGTATAGTCAGTCATATATAAAGTCTAGGAACTCTCTTCGAATTCATGTGTTCCGTCACGGTCGCGGTCGCGGTCGCGACCTCAGGGCTGCAGCTGTTCTCACTGTCATCGAGGATTCGACGAAAGTCCGAGGGCTCAGTGACCTGAAAAACCAAGAGGTTTCCCAACCTCCCAACCTGGGACGAAGAGGTAGCTACCTGGGTGTCCCAAACCTCCCCACCAGAAATTAATATATGGATGGAACTCTAAAGTCCCAAGGAGCTTAAGCTGGCGCCAGAACTTGGAACATCCAGAACTGTTTTTGGTTGGGACTGGGTTTCCAGGCATGCCTACCCAGAAAAAGTGGAGAACGCCCAAGTATAAGTATGTGGATCCACAGCCTGCCCCGGACTCAGTGGATCATCACCTTTTTGTTGCGGATAGGGGATGCCCACTCAACATGCACGTGGTGAAACGTTTGGGACTTGTAACTAGTAACAAGCACATCGCTACTAGCAACAAGGGCATTGCTACTAGTGATGTCCTTGTTACCTGGTACAAGCGTTTGCATGCGTTTCTTTTCGACCGGGAATTCCGGCACGGTTCCGGGTGTGAGCAGAGCTTTCTAGACACCTTATATAGGCTTGGAGAAGGGATGTGGATCCTTAGGGAGGATGAAGGTCAGTACTTTCAAACGGTGTGGTTTCGTCTCTTCCTGTCTTGACAGGCCTGCATCAGTGGGACCATTGGCATGGTGGTATTTTGGATCAGCGGTGATCAGGGATGGTGTTTACCCAGAGAATGCTCAACTGGAATGATGGTTTTGCATCACAAGAGATGTTGATGTTCAGTTCAATTTGGAATACATGTGTTTCTTCTTTCCAGTTCCCCAAGAGCAAAATCCAACCAATCCACCCATGTGACGCATGAATGCGCGCCCAGTTCGCTCGTGCATCAAGTGAGGAGTTGCCCATGCCGACACATGGGATCGGGATGGGATCGGCCCTGAAAGCATGGCACCAAGTTGGGTTTGAAAGTGATCGAATCCCTCTGGGAGCCATGTTCCACTTAGGGTTGTGTTGGGTTAACTGAGGGGTGTAACACCAAAAGAAGTTGGTCCAATGGCCCTCTCAGAATCCAGGTGGATCCGACATTGGCATACGACATGGGTCAAAAAGAGAACAGGGAGGGTCACCTGTCAGGATCAACTCACCTCTCAGGATCCGGGGAAGTGGAGAAACTGCAGAAACCTTTCCACTCAACTCCAACTGGAAAGTTCGAAGACTGAAGAATGGAAGACGACTCCGGGAATTCTTTGGGAGTCGACCGGTTCGTAGCTCGAAAAATGGGGCCCGAAACACCTGTTTTTTGTTTTCACATGTAGGGTCAAGTCATGTCCCATGTTCTAAAATGTTCTAAAGTACTATTGAAGCAGCTGGTAGACCGATCTGACCGAACTGCATTATTCGTTTCATCGGTGTAAACCCCTGGTGATTGGCCAGCGCGGGGAGCCCTGCGAGTCCCGTTTTGGCTCATTCGTACTTGAAGCCACAAGCAGAAAGGTACTGAAAGGTAGAGTCTTTGAGAAAACATGGAAGCTATGAAAAACAAGCAGAACCTTTCTGCTGATCCAATCCTATGATCTGTGCGAACGTCATTGACGTTTTAAACAGGACGACCGACCTATGAAACACTGGAGCCAGGCTTCATCGATACGACATCATGGATCAAGATAGTTAGTTTTCTGTAAGTAGACAAGTTCAAGGCTCATGACCACCATGATCAGGCTGCATAACAAGAAACACATACTACAACCCCTCTGAGCTTCTTTTACGGGCGCCGGGAGCTGCCCCGGTACTGGGGAGCCGCCCAGAGGAATCCTTGGACGGGGACGGACCTACTCCACCAAAGACGCCAGGGAGTCCGGACTTTCAAAACCCAGACTCCCTTGGAGTTGAGCCCGGATTGAGCCAAGGGTGAGCCAAGACCTGGTCTTGCCTGCAGCTGGTGTTGGTTTTTTCTTGTGTTTCCCACGGTTCAATCCACTTTGGGAGTTAAGCAAATCCCAGAATACCCATGATTCAGAGATATGGTTATTCTTCCTATAGTTACAGTTGTTGTTTCTTTTTTCTTCAGATTCAAGCAACCCCAAGCAAGTTGTGATCGATTGCGTCTTCCGCATGGCGCCCAAAGCTGCAAAGCCCAAGCTCAAGAAGTGACTGGGCACAGATGGAGATTCCCTGGCCCTGGCTGGGTAGACTGGTCGATTCCCCGAACCGAACCGAACCGGGGTGCTTGCCACGCTTGTGATGCTTTCCCTATTTCAAGGCATACACAGATGTTGGGATCGTTCGGGAGGCCTCTAGAATTGCGCAACACTCCGTGGTACATTAACCCCTCAAAACACCCCTATGGAGTACAATGTAAGTATAGATATGCCATGCACGCAGGGGTGGTTGGCCAAAGCTATGGAGCTTATCCAATCCGTCGACTTTTTGACTGTGAGGATTCATGACTTTTGCTAAACATGAAGGGAGAGCGAACAAAATATATTTGGTGTGGGTTGGTAAGACATGAAGTCTTTGTTGGAATGGCCAACCTACAATGAAAGTGAATGAAAGCCCTGGCAGATGGGAGGTGAACACGTAAGAAACATTGCCTTGGGATGAAAAGTCTGAGAAACAGGCAAAATATGAAGAAGTGAAGATGGAGACCAACCAAAACCACTGCAAAAAGGGTGTGTCTCATTTTGAAGACGTGCTCATATTTTGTGCATCCGAGCGCATGATTTCTTTGTGATCTGTGATTTCTTTTTGCACATGGAACTGCTCACAGTTGGAATGATGCCAACTTTTGGGGTTTACTAGGAGCTTGGCCACTGTGTCAGCAGCTGTGTTTACTATGCCTAACATCATCAGTATACTGCGAATGGGTTTTCCTGTTGGTGTCCGTTTCCTCCGTTTCCTCCGTTTCGGTTCCGACCGGTCCTGCGACGAGTCTGGGGTCCTCCCACACACGGTCCGGTTCACCGGTTCGTGGCAGGACCCGAGGGGACTGAGAGTGAAGCGGTCTGGGTGGGGTTTCTCACAACTATAAGGGTTCAATGGACCCTTCATACCATGCAATGTATAGCCGTTGGAAGCAACTCCAGGGTAGGTCGCCTCGCTTGGGGACCTGACACGGTGCGCTTTGGCTTGGATCGGTGCCCGTTCGATCGACGGATTTCGTCCCCGAAGTCGGTGCCTTCGAGGGCGAGGCAAACTAGCATGTACCCCTGGACCCCAAAAAGGTGCCCTAAGGATCCGAGTCCGGACCGATCGAACCCTAGTACAACAAGGGAACCCGAAGGGCCCCGCCCCGAACCAAGGGTTCTTGTTTTGTTTCGGGTGCGGATCTGCACCGGGTGATGAAGGGACACCCCTATTGACCTCTTTCCCGGGGCTGAATGGACACCCGAACTCCGTGGTGCTAGTACCCAGCACCCGAGCGTGTTTTCGTTTCGCCGACCGACGTCCCAAAAGCACTGGGCGATGTCGCAAGGGCCTGGTGGAAGCCATCTTCAAGATCCCATAGACCAGCACCGTCAAGGGGTGGTAGACATGGACACCCCGAATCACAGCTGTTTGGGGCTAAGCCATAGACACCCCGAACGAGGCGGGTCGACTCCGTTGGCAGATTCGCCAGGGGGGGGGTGGTTTGAGAGGTCAATACGCAGACAATTCGAAAAGATATTCCCATGGAGCGTCTGGGATTCTCGGGACACGGCAGAAACGAGTTCACGAAGTCACCCCATCTCCTGAGAATCACTGAACGGCTGCTGTCTTGTGTCAAAAGCTCTCAGGGGTGGCTATGGCAGCGCGGATGAGAAGTGGGTCCAATCGCAGCTGCAGGCGCCGCTTCGCACATGCGGAGGAGATAGTTTTGCTGGCATTGTGGCCAATGGAAACCAATGGCACCTGGACCCGACTTCAATCGTATCCTTCCAAATCGGACTTCCTATTACAAACAGGTTCGACAGGAGCTTCATTTTGATGAGGAGTACGAACTTTCGGGTCGATCGATGCACCGATCCAGACGTTCAAGACGGTCAACACGAGTCTGAAGGATAGCCCAAGACACTGATTACCAGATCCTCAGACATGTTGCCTTGGAAATCTGTCGGCTGATGTAGAGAGATGGCGACGTGGACACCATGGAAATCTGATACTCCCTGGAATCCCCATGGGAAGCGTATGGAAGCGTGGACTGCATGGCCGGCCCCGATTTGGGATGACCATGTTCAATCCGAAGACCACGCAGGTGGTGAACTCCCTCCCTCCACTTCCATGATGATTGGATTACTGAAGCTTCAACTGACACCAACATGACGACCCAATGTCTCCATGTGTTTCTGTTGTTTTTGACGTGCAACTTCTGCTTCCAACTGTTTGGTATGTCCCTTAGACCTCTATATTTAAGTCCTTTTCTCCTGTGTTCATGTCAAGTTAATGTTCTCTTTGACGCGATCCTCACCATGCATCTTCCTTTCGGTCGCTCCCTACCCGCACGGGACGGCTTCCCCCCCGACGGGACCCCACGAGGCGTTGCTGCGGCAGCGACAGAGCGTGGCGTGGGTGCAGCAGCAGCACCTCTGGCACGAGGACCCACGAATCGACTCTGGACCGTTTGGGCGGCAGCACCTCGGCTCCCCACCCACATCCTCAAACGGTTCGGTGCTTGCGGTGGGTGGTGGTGCCACAAGAAGGTCTGTCCCTGATATCTTTGGATGTGGGCTGAACAGCCCCAAGCGGTTGGAGGTTCGGGATTTGGAGGGGGGAAGCGAGGGACGTGGACGTGAGGGCTGGGTCCCTGCAGAAGTCTGTGGAGCACCTGTAACACCTTTTGTGTGGGGGAGATGGCGGACACCATCTAATTAGTTAAAACATGTTAAACCCAGCTCAGGAAACAGGTTCTTTTTCAAACAGAGAATCTAACTGGAGAAAAAAGTTAGATGGACTAATTGCTGTGAAGGATCTATGGCGCGCCAGTGCCAGAACTGGGAACAACCAGAATTGTTTCTGGTTCTTTGGGCTTCCAGGAGGGTTTGAATAAAACTGGTTGAAAAGAAGGATGGTGCACAATTGCCTGGGTTACCTAGACGTTGTTGCTATAAACGATGCAAACGATGTGTTCTTTGGTTGAAAAACGACCCACCATCCCAGCCGCCCGCCCGGTGCGACCTAATTCTCGCCTCCATCCCGGCCGCGCTGTCCTACAGCCGAAAAGCGAGGAGCAGCTTGCACTGGTCCTTGAGAAGCTTCAGATCTTTGGCAGGAACGTCTTCCCAAATCATTGACCCAAGCTACGTTCGGAGCAAAGGGCATCGCTACGTTCGGAGCAAGAACGCTACGAACGGGGCTCCTGGCCTTACTACTAGGAATAGTAATGTTTGCTATTAGAAACAAGAAGCAACCCACGAGTGAAACCGCACCAGCAGGTGAAAGACGTGAGACGTGATGGCACCGCATGATGGCTGTTTTGGTCTTCCGAAAATCGAAGAGACATGCCATCCAGTGTAAGCATGACCATTTCAGGGATGTAACCTTCAAGACCTTGGCCAACCTCAAAGACCCTCCAGTGAAACCAGAAAGAACCGACAAAAAAACAGCACTTGTAGTCCTGATGCTTGGCTTGATTGTTTGTTTGGTCCTGATGTTTGGCACGGAAGAATTTGAATCACAGACAACATAATAACCAAGAAGTCTCTGGTAATTTCTGAGCCAACAGTAGAACAGTGGCTCGTTTTGGACGAAGACGGGAAGATTGTGAAGCCGGATATCAAGCTCTTGCTCTCCGAAGAGAACACGTTGACCAAGGGCAGGTTTAAATTGAGCGATGTTCATTGCCTCAATTGTGATAGATGTTCGTGGCTGAAGCTTGTCGTGGGCAAGGAGGAAGTAGAACGGGCTTTGCCATTCTACTGTGTTGGATGTATGCGTGGCGGAGAGCACGATCAGCATTGTTTCCAAGATCAACGCTACCATTTAGACAAAGGTGGACAGTCCTTCATCCAGTGGAACGGGCGCTATAGAGGGGTCTTTGCTGTCTGAGATTTATTATCATCCTCGAGAGAAGGTTAACTTAGGCAAAGGTCAGGAGGAGGTAAGAAGAGATAGGCTTGGATTCAAGATGTAAAAGCATGTAAAAGCTGGCATCGACCCCAAGACGAGCAAGAAGTGGATGGAGTGGAAGGAGGTGGCACTGCTCCAGTACTGGCAAATGGTACTACACTTGGGAAAGCCAAGCTGTTGAGCCCAGGCCCTCCGGCAAAGCTGCTGAGCCCAAAAGTGATGGCAAACTGGATATGTTGGCATACCGCAGCCTTGGACGATCTGAATAGATTCATCACTGGCTATCTGTCCTTTGCTGCCCAAATGGGATATCCAGTTGGCTCAAAGGGTGGCATGGGCTCTCCAGCTGGCTCGGGTGGCATTGTGTTTCTGAAGCCACCTCCACCTCCAAAGGTGAAGGCTATGCCAGCATTGCCCCCATGGCGGCGTACACCTCCAAAGGGACCACCTCCAAAGGTACCATCTCCAATGCCCAAAGCCAATCCTGGAAGTGGGAGTGAAATCCCAAGAGAGCTGCGCCTCCTGCACCTGAAGGTACCATCTCTATCACCAGGTCCTCCTCCTCAGCCACTGAGGCATATGTTTGGATGCCAAAAGTCGGTGCTAAGGAGTTTATACAAAATGGCAGCACTACACTTGTAATGAAATCAACACTCTTGCACCGCATTCCATATTGCTTTGGAGCAGAACATCACACTCCCAATTACACACCAGGAGATGGGTGATCAGTTCTCGCTTGGGACGCTGAGGAGCAGCTCGTTGCCCTCCTTGTCAGCAGATTTCAAGGAACAGGCTTGGTCGGTTGAAGAGAGGCTGACCTGTCTCTCCACGCTGCGAATTTATGAAGTTTCAAGCACCTCAGCCAAGAAGATTTCAAGGTGAAACTTGACCCAGGGAATCCAATCACCATGAATTGAATGGTTCTCACTGAGCTCACCGAAGAACTAACAACGTTTGTTTGTTGTAACAAAGGTTTTTTTGAGCTTTAGATCTACAGCACCAGCTCAAGATGTGTTTGTCATGTTCAAGTAGAAGTCAGGGGTGATGTCTCAGTTCGTACTCTCCTTGGAACATGGCCCCAAATAAGAATCTACCTGTTCGGGGTTTGGTTGAGAAGGCCCACCCCGGTGGGATGAGCCTTCTCGACATGTTCAGCTCAAGGGAGGGCAACTAGTCTGACGGACTGAGGTTCCTTGAGAAAACAAACTGAGACACCGGACGTGTGGTGCTAGCCTCATGTTGTTTCTTCACAGTCGACCGGACCTGAAGCTAGAGGTTGGTCGAAAAAACACGGCCCGTAGACGATTCCAACAACCATTGATTTATGGGTCGGAATCCCAAAGAACCATTTTTTTTTGATAACGATACTGCAGGGAAACATATGTAACATATAGGTAAACCCTTCTTTTAATGTCTTCCTTGAAGGTGAACATGGATGAAAATGGGCCCTCCATTGGACTCGGAGCTGCGTCGTGGACGTCCGTCGCACCAGGTGGAGTTCTACGTGTCGCAGTTGGAGAGCGACATGCCAGAGGAAGACCTGCCGAGAGCAAAATGCCAAAGGGAACGATGATCTTGACCACCCTATGTATCGAATGTACCCAGACATACCCATAATATGAAATATATTATACCTATTCTATAATGGATGATCTGGGGCATTACATGGCAATGTACATATACACATATAATATGTTCACCGATTCCTGACCCAAACACCACAAGTGGGACTGGTATAAATACCACCCCGGAAAGACCCCGGGTCAATCAACCACCCGAATGCAGATACATAGGCCAGTCCCATGGATTGTGTGGGTTATGAACATCGGGAGACCATCCCAGGCGTGGCAACAACCCCCCTGAGTTTGGTTCGGAAAATAGACCTAGTCTATCGAGCCCAGGGCCAGGGGATCTCCATATGAAAATACAGAACCCATTATTATATGTACCACCTACCAGCACCGACTTCACATGTCACCAATTGAAACCTGTGTCGGGCCCTTATAACAGCCCTCCATTTCGGAGACCTGTTGAGTTCGGTGCTGGTATAGGGTCCCAGTTCAGGTCTGTCAACCTCTCTTGGTTCTGTCAACCTGCAGCTCTGCACACTCATCTCTCCGCGCGGCGCGCGCGCATTTGGTTCATTCGGGCCGGATGTGTCGTCGACTCGGGGGGAAATGGATGGTCCAGATCTGTTTAAGAATTGCAAGGCCAAGGGCTCAAGCGTTCACAGTCCGGCTGCTAGGTGATTGTTCCTTGTGATTCTGATTGGTTCTAAGCACCTCATTCGGAAGCGGATTGCCAGGGGGGAGGGGTGACGTGGGTCCGAAATCCCCATATCAACTCATCACCAAACACTCTACGAGACTTGATGACTTGGACGGATTTCAAGATGATTCGATGGGATTTGAGTTCCTTCTGCAATGTGCTGTGCTGAAGAGGAGGCCTTCTACGACGATCGGGAGCTCTACTTCCAGCTTTTGTCTCCAGCTACTGCGCCCAACGAGACAGATGATACCGCGCCCTACCAGCGCAGTGAGGACTCGGAGGAGGCGGCCAGTGAGAAGGATCAACGGGGGACTGGTGGATGGAGATTCCTACAAAATCATTTGCTCAAGGGATCCTAGGTTGGAGGCCATCGCTACTATGTTGGAGGCCATCGCTACTATGTTGGAGGCCATTGCCACTAGGTTGGAGGCCATCGCTACTATGTTGGAGGCCATCGCTACTATGTTGGAGGCCATTGCTACTAGGTTGGAGGCCTTCGCTACTATGTTGGAGGCCATTGCTACTAGGTTGGAGGCCATGGCTACTATGTTGGAGGCCATCGCTACTATGTTGGAGGCCATTGCTACTAGGTTGGAGGCCATCGCTACTATGTTGGAGGCCATTACTACTAGGTTGGAGGCCATGGCTACTAGGTTGGAGGCCATCGCTAGTAGGTTGGAGGCCATCGCTATTATGTAGGATGATGGAAACCGTTTTCTTTGTTGGGTTGCATGAGGGTTGCTGTTTGGGAGTTCTCCAAGCTCCGGAGTGCCATTGAACGTATGATAATTTGAATTTTTGTCATCCAAATCTGCCAAGATTTCAGCCCAGGTCGTGAGTAGACAGGTGAAAAGGTATGCAAGTCCTACCTGTGGCACATGGAGTTCCTAGCCAGTGGGTGCCCATGATATGTCTTTTGTAATTGGGTTGATGTTTTATTCCCAACAAATCATCCCCAAGTGGAACGACTTCTGCCGATAGGACCAGAAAGTCGACTGTACTGCCAGTTTTGCTCGACATTAATGATAGAACAAGAGGGACAAAAAGGATGAAGAACTCATACTTGTGGTATACAGTGACATGGACTTCTGAGTCTTGATCATGATCCATTGTTCATTCATATTTCACAAAGTGAAACGAACAAGCTTTGTATTCAATGACTCTGTGTGAAAATGAACAAATGACACGTGCAATTGATTAACACACTCAATACTCTAGTTATTGTCTGATTGTTTGGTTGTCGTTGTTTTAATTTCTCTAGACTATGTGGTTTTTTCCTTATGTTCTTGACACAAAATTGTGTTGTTGTAACTTCTTATGCCAATACTTCAGATTGTTCAGTTAGTTCAGTCAATTTTGCCTTTGAGACAATGATGGATGACAATCACTTGAAGAGAAATTGCGCCAATACCTGGAGTCGACCCGTTCGTAGCTCAGAACATGAGTACAACTATGACATCAACAAGGTCATGTCCAGATGGACGAATGCCATGACCTGACGGCACTTTGGAACTGTTGGGAGTCAGAACTTTAAGTACACAATTGCTTATTCCCTGGGAGTCAAAGACTATAAAAAGAATGGTCTTTAGGTGACCCGAAAAGGAATTTCCTTTACTTCAGTCGGTCAAAATAGAGTCGAACTGGACTTCAGTCGGGTATTCATAGACGGTCATGTCCAACGTTCTGAGGTAGAAGTCGCTCCAGGTACGTCACTGTGAGAATTCACTGCAAACACCTCCTGGCTGCTCGCGGCTGCTCCTCCTGATGTGTCTTGCCAGGCCATGCTTGCGGCAGAGAAACTGAAAGTTTGGACTGATACAAGCCACTGGGAGCTGAACAAGGGGAAACTGAGAGAGGTGACCTGAACTGAGACCCTTCGTCGAAACGGCTACGAGTGTCTCCCTATGTTAATACTGCAGTACTCGTAGCTGTGAACGCCAAGTATCTCCCTATATTATTATTGTAAATATATACATTACGCCCATATCACACACCATCCATGGGACTGGCCTATTGATCTACATTCGGGTGGTTGATTGACCCGGGGTCTTTCTGGGGCGGCATCTTTTCCAGTCATATGTGTGGTGTTTGGGTCAGGAATCGCTTTGTTCTGCACACCCATCTGGGCTACGTGAAAATGGGCGGTTGTTTATCACCGCCGATCGGTGCACACCTCTCACCCGTGGATCGCGGTCCCCTCGAGGGATCGGCGCATTTGATGCGTGCGGCGAGATCGGTTCGTGGTTCGTGGAGCGAGGACTTCGTGCGAAGTCGCTGAGGTCCAAATGGGATCTCGAACTTCGCGAAGCTTTTGAAGGTGAGATGGGGTGAACATCTGGGCCCGGCCCACACGCAATCCCACGCATAAGTTGTGTTTTTTTTTATATAAATGTTTGTTTAACGAGGAGCACCTTTGGGGGATCATTGATGAGGGTTTGGGGTAGAGGCTCTATTGGCATCATCATCATCATCATCATCATCATCATCCACTTTAAAATGATAGGCCCCGAGTTGGTCCAACGTACTGTGATTCTAGGGTCCGTCGCCTTCCATTCATGTTGACCCTCACGCGACCAGCTGACCCTCACCAAGTCTTCCACCTCGTCGTCCCCGACGACGCGAGACCTGACCTGGTTCTTTGGTCGTCCTTGACCTGGTTTTGTGGATCAGCTGATGGTTTGTCGGACCTCGGATAAATACTCTGTTGATCTCTGTTGAGCATGTTCTATTTGTTCCAGGTTCCTTAAGTAAATCCAAGTTTAGAGGGGACCAATTTTCCCAAAAAAGGGCAGGGATGACAGGGTTGTGAGAGTGAGTACGGCAGCCGTAGACTTCCTTCAACCGAACTCAGCCGTATCCTTACATCACCGGTTCCGATCTCGGAGGGTTCACCATTCACTCAGAGCAAGGAGATGGGCATGTCGGTATGTCAATCCAAGGTGGCTGTGGGTGGCATTCGGGTTGACTCACCAGCGAACATGGACAGAAAAATCGACTACAACATTCTGGAGGTCAACCTACCATAGGTGAGTTCCGGGCTCCAGGTGCTGACAGAGCTTTACCAGCGGTGCGGGAAGTTCGCTTCAAGTTTGTGAGATCGAAAGGGCTCGGGAGTCAGATTCAAAAGCTGAAGAACAAGAGAGGTTGAGAGACCAGAACTAGGTCATACAAAAAATTACTCCAGGAGGCTAGTTTGACCAGGTTTTACCGGGTCAGACTGGACGTCTGCAGACAGCCCGGGGTCATGACATCATGGGATCGTCTAGGAAAGGCTCGCTTCGTCGCATTTGTCGGGAGGCTCAAAGCTCCTCAGCTTTGGTGCAAGAGCTTGGACTCACCAGGCGACCACAGGGGTGGATGTAGAGCTCAACCAAGAGAGGTAGCCAGTGTAGCTGATAGGACCCGTCCCGTATCCTGGGGTACCTATATGTGATAGTCGAAGACCTGGGTTCTTCAACCTTTGTTGGGAGGTCACATGTTCCAAAGATGGTTTCCTTCAGGCGGACTCTTCATTCAAAGCCTCGCCGCAGACATGGATTGTAAAGCCTCTTCAGGCTTGGGGGGATTTACACCAGGTGGTTCTATTAATCAACAGCCTACTTCTGTTTGTTTTGTTATTTTGTTGACCTTGATTCACTTTATAGCTGCTTCTTTTTGCTTCGTGCCTTCCCAGAGGATGACGCGACGATGTGCACGTGCCCATACACCTACCCCATAGACTCGATGAATGGATTATACCTGGACGCTCCAAAGTACCTTAGATGGGACCCTATAACAATGGGTCTTTGGGTCCCATTTCTCCAAGGCACTTTGAGACTTCAGATATGCCGACCTGGACCCTTGAAACCACCCCGAGCCATGCAAATATCGCAGTCCCACGGAGTGTGTGGGCAAAATGAACACATGTAACGAAAAAACCGCAGTGAGGTTGCAGCGGTGAAACACCGTTCGAACGAACGAGGCCGGGTTTGGTGAAGCGTTCGCTTTTTGGGATCTGCAGGTTGGGTCAATGTCCATACTGTCAGCATTTATGGAGGGGTTGTGCAACGGTTGTGCCTGATGACATTCACATGATATCGAGAAATGATGCTAGCTCGTATATACTTCTTAGCCTTTCCAGGTGAATTGCAACCCACTACCAGCCCAACTTGAAGCAAGCAATGAACCCGAACAAAGCAAGACTCATCCGTCCTGCCCATAGGAGTCTTTGCACTTGCAAGGGGACCCGCGTGCTCCCTGCTATGCGCGTAACACTTCAGCTATGTGCATGCGTCCTGAGCCACTTCCTTGAACAATGCCAAGGGTCAAACCACGTAAAATTGTTGCCCAGTTCAGAATAGGATGGCGCATGCACACCAAAAGTCACAGCTCGATTTTTCATGTTTTGCGTCACACCTCCTACTGGCTGCCTCGTCGCGGCTCTCGCGGCTCAGCTGGCAACGTCCGATGACAGGCTCTCTGCCTTGCTGGCAGAGGCGCGGGAGCAGAAGACACCGGCAGGGCTGGCGCCCCGCGCGCTGATGCCAGTGACCTGGTTGCACCGACCCACAGGAGGGAAGAGGTTTTCCACCGCCCCTGGAGAGGGAAGGTCAGACAGCAGCCACTCCATTGGGACTGGAATCCGACTGGTGTTTCGGAAAGAACCCTTGAAAAATCCACCATTTTTGGCCGTTCTTGGCAGATATGCTAGCCCCACATAGTCCCACAAATTGTTTATAGGGATGTTTGCGGAAAACGATATTGCTGTGCGTTGGTGTGGTTGTCCGCATGCCAAATTAATTATCCCGTTCCTGTCACTGACTCCATTGCAGGGAGTGCCTCTTCTGTTTTATTTATAGATAAGTTCTTTGTCTCAACAACTCATTCATTTATTGGATATATACCATATGATAATCCAGGATCAAAGATATACCTGGATCCACCAGTTTGTACCTTCCCAATATAGGCAGGTCAGGAAACTGACCGGTCAGGAACCCTGACCATTTTGGCGTGTGGGTCAAGGAGCCCTGGCCATCATGACTTCGGACGACCGAAGTGACCGAAAAACCTTTCGACTGGCTGAGATTGTGACCGCGGCCATGGAGAGATTTCCACGTGACACACAGGTGTGCGGCGCAGTGCGGGTGGGGTGGTTGGTGGGTACCTCAGACCGACCGAGCTCCTCTTAGACGACGGTTCCTGGACCTGAAAAAGCGGCACTCGTCGTGGAAAAGGGGGACATGATCTCATCAAAAGCACAGACTGACAGGTACACCCGGGAAGATTAACATGGAACCTGAAAATGGACCTTTGGAAGACTATGTTCTTCTACAACTGTTGTTTTCAGGTTCTATGTTAATCTTCCAGGGTGCACTTTCCGACTTCAAGTACCTTTGAACATGAGACATGACCCGGACAAGGAACATGGACCATCTTGCACCTATTTTCCAAGGTACGAACCGGTTGACTTCATGTTGATGTGGTAAAAGCCCTACCAAGCCCGCTGAAGACTAACATGGACCCTTTCCAGGGTCCATATTAGTTTGGGGAGTGTATTTATTGGTATTAAGCATTTTATGGTGAGTTTTATTGTTCAAGAGTCGACATTTTGTGGCTGTCGGTCACAGCTTCTTAAAGCTTAACTCCTCGTAAAACCAGATTGGTTGACATCCCTCACAAAATTCTTTGGTTTTCCGGTTAAGCAATTGTTGATTGTATGAAGTCCGTTCAGATGGATGTGTATTAAGCACATGAAACAGCCAAGGGTTGGATGCCCAACTGTCTAGCAGGGATGCTTCGGGTATCAGCTCCCCATGTTTCACTGCCATAGGACTGCCGATCAGGAACTGGTTGGTGATCGGGTCTATGTTGCCATTCTAACAAACAGTCCCACGCAGCTCGTGTGTGGGACTTAGCTCTCACATGGCACCCCTCGCAGCTCGTGTCATGCCACCGACCGGTCGAAGGAGCTCCGGGGTCACGGGGAGCGAGAGGGCGACCGGTGAGCCACGGAGTGATGCGCCCCACCCAGGGTGACTAAGTGAAGAAACTGAGCTGCAACGTACGCACTTGGAGTGATGTGGATGATGTGGAACATCTCACTGGAGCGGTAGAACAGGTGGAGAAAGGATGAATTCAAGCAGGGTTGACCTTCACACTTCCCGAGATCGTTGAGCAGGGAGTCAGTTGGGATTCCAGTGTTTGTCAGTCACTCAGTTCTTATGGATTTGGGTGTGTGTTAGAACAGGGAGACACCCTAGATCGACTTCTGGGAACTTTGAAGATCAGGCTAAATCCATGGGGTGGGGAGGTCCCCCTATTTAAATCGGTTTGTATGTCAATAAGGAAATCCCCAACCAATGGGTGGACTAGTTTAGTTTCCTTCTTCCAGGGGCTCGTTGCCGCGTTGCCTGGGATGGTCTCCCTATTTGAGCTACACACCCAAATAGTGCTAAGCCTATAGGATCCACATGGATCCACTGTCTTCGAAGAAATTGGAGGTTGTTTCTACAGCATGGCAAAACCCATTTCGTCACTCCCATTTCCAGGTGCAGCGTCAAGGCTGCAGCGCCTTGCGCGCGATCTCATTGGCGCCCAACGGCGGCTTGGGCATTTGCCTGGAGGTGGGCTTGGGTTCATCGGTTGACGGAGAGTTGGGAACGGTGAAGACGCTGAAGATGTGGTGACAGGGACATACCTGGATCTTCCAACTGTGTAAACATTCTGCCGAACTTGGTTAGTTTTATGGATGAAAGGGCAGACATTTTGCACGGATGGAAGATCTAGGCATTCTATAGTTCATTGATGTTTCATGGAATTCATTGTTTTGTGGGAGAGGAGTGATCAAGGGTGGAACTCAACTCAGACTTCTTGACACGCGTTGGATGGTAACTCCGCAAGTGGTGTCATTTGTGTTTTTTGTTTGCCTCATGATCAGACATGTTGAGCTTGAATGGCCTCCCGATCCGGAAGCTGCGTTGGGAAGAACAAAGCTGCTCCGCCGTTCCGTTGCAGAATTCACGAGGTGTTCGTATCCGTTCATCTTCCGAGGCCTGAAGCCCCAGCCCCACAGCCCGGGACGGTGATTGTAGTGAAACGCTATTTGGTTGATTTCAGGGAGGAGATTACAGAAGAGCAAAGCTAGTGGTTTCAGGGTGTAAATATATATATAATGTTATAACTATAAACCCCATTCAGCAGTTCGCAATGCAGATGCAGTTTTGCTCACCGTCTTTGATGACACTTTTTCCCAGAGGCAGATGGTGCCAAGATCCTCGTGCAAGTCATGAAGAGCCACATTAGGCGGCGCAATCGTTCGTGTCGGACCGCGTCGTGACGTGGAGATATGGAAATACAAAAGAAAGACACTCTCCCTGTAACTAACATGAAAGGGGAAAACAATGAAAACATGGTCAATAAACATGAAAATACCATTTGTTTGCAGAGGAATGTGTCTTCCAAGGAACCACGTTCCACTTCCATGTTAGTTCCAAACGTGTATGAAGAAGTGGTTGATGGTGAAAGTCACAGCGCACGAGAGCGCCAGCCAGACCACTCAATTGGATCATAGTATACCACATACAAGACCACTTACACCATGATATACCATACCAGTACCACTACTCCAAATCATCATGTTCAGGCACCTGTGCCTCCGGTCGAATGCACGTTGTTGTCCTGGTTTTGTGACCGTGGTGTTATTTTGTCTATGAGTAAACCCCCCCCAAACCTGGGGAATTGGTTTGAGTGAATTCCAGGTTCCTGGACGGCAAATCAAATCCGCGAAAACTCGCTCGCCGTTTCCTGACGCCGACGCAACACCATGTTCTGTCACTGTCCAGCTGCTAACGACCAGATCAGTCGAACCGCCTCCGGTCAGTCGAACTCATGTGACTCGTTCCGAGGACTCCACATGCGGAACGTCGACACTGGGAAACTGTTTGTGTGATGTGTTTAATCGACTTGAAAAAACACTGCAGAGTTCTGTTTTTTGTTGCTGTTTCCACGTTCCACTTCAATCCATGCCCTGTGGAACTATGCAGCGCTGGATGTTCTTCTAAACATGCAGACACCCCAGACCCCAGACCGGCCGCGCCAGGGACGCCGACGTTTGCCGCACCGCTGCCGCGTCGCTGGCCTCCATGGTTTCTCGGTGGCACCATCATGTCCGGAGTAAAAACCATTTGCCCGAATATCCAAATCCTCCAAATTGTCAAGATCCAAGGGTCCAGAATGTCAAGATTCCCCAAAATTCTGGGTGGTGGTGTGAGATAGTTGATCATTTCCAACCAATGATTGAATTCAGTGGCTCATGTTGTTCAAGTGAATTCAAGCCACCAACCTGTGTGAGTGGAGAATCACCCTAAGCTGCTTCAATTGATGTCAGGAACCTCCGGTAGAGAGAATCGACATGAAATTACAAGGTACAATGGCATGACATCAAATTGGGTGTGTAATTTGTCATAGGGAGACCGACACCAGGCGTGGCAACGACCCCCCTGAAAGATAAGGACAAGAGCATGAAAATACGCTGGTCTACCCAGCCAGGGCCAGGGGGTCTCCCCATATCAAAATACACAACTCAGTTATAGCCATAGCTCTTTCTTTAGAGAAACATCTCGCAACATCTCGTGACCTCTACTGGCATCACAGATTGAAAGGTTGAAGAAACATCAAAACAAGTAAATACCAGGACCTTCTTTCGGGGTGTCCTGGACAGGGAGATCCCGGATAGTAGTGGGCTAAACGGCGAAAGAAATCAGCCAGGTGACCCCGACACGAGAAAGGTGCTGGTCATGTGTTGCCTCAATCCCAGACTCTCCATGGGACTGGAATATATGCCGATCAATTGACCCCCCTGGCACCCCAACTGATCGGCATATATGGCATACATGGAGTGTCTGGGAATGTAGTTTCCGTTTCTTTCTGTGTTTCTTTCCATTTCCAGTGCGTGTCTCCTAGGCTGGGAACACCTAGTGACTCGTAGTGAGAGAGAAGACTAGCGACGCTTCAATTTCCATGATCTACTTGAGTTGGTGGAAACATGTTTGGGATGAACATGCTCCCTGGAACAATCATAGAAATGGACACCCCCCTGTTTGTAGAGGAACATGTTCTTTCCGAGGGGCCAGAATGTCCACTTCCGTGATTGTTGGAGGGGAAGCAAGTTTTGCTGCCCTTTATGTCCAGATGTCCTTTTCCATCCTGTTCCTAATATACGTATAGCAGATGATTCTGGTACTATGGTTGACAGAAGGCATCCTGTACCACCCAATGATGATATCATTCCCTATGAATCCACATACCCTCTGAGAGGATGATTGGAGACACTGCACTTCTATATAGGCTTGGAGGGTGCAAGTAGCTGCTGAGAAGGGATGCTGGATCCCTAGGGTTTGTTTTCACACGTGCTCACTCTTCTGAGGGGATGCAGGATTCTTTCCTTGCGCTGTGTTTTGAAGTGACGGGGATGATTGAGAGTACTCCTTTTGAGCGGCGATTGTGGTCAATTTGTAGAACCAGGACCAGGAATCACAAAGAGGTGCCGAACCTGGAGGATAGGGCGTGCTGCGAAGGGCTGCCCGGCCCGGCGATGTAGATGTAGACCATCGATGGCCATTCCCGGCCCCGGTAGCTTGCAGCTTGCACTGAACAATGCACATTCTAGTTTGCCATTCCTGGTTTTGTTTGTGTTGGACAGCTGCACTGCTATCATAGTCTGCGGAGAAATGATCAATTTGATTCCTCTACTCAGGAGAGCATCCGTGTGGAAGTCTTCACTCACAATTGGACTTGCACTCCCGCACTTCAACTTCAATTCCACTGCAGGATACTTGCACCATGGTCCACCATGGTCCCACCACTGCCCTGTACCTCTGGGGTCCTTGGGTCTCTCACGTTCCCGTCTCTCCGTGTGAGGGAGTCGGGAGTCGATCGATGTGCACGCTCGATCGAGGTGAACAAAAGCCAGTCGCTGGGCCAGCAGTCGGAGTGAGGATGTCCAAAAGTGCGCATCCCTGGACTTGGAAACACATGTTTCGTGCCTATGAACATGGGACATGGCCTACCACAAACAACGCGGCACCCATGAATGACCCCGTTTTCCAAGCGAATTACGCACTGAGACTGCTTGGATCTCCGGGTACCTGCTTGGATCATCGGGTTTGGGTCGTCACCAATAGACAGGACACTGACAGGACACCCATTCTCAGACACTCCATGTGTGCCATAGGACTGCCGATCAGTTGGGGTGGTGCCAGGCTTGGAAAAATGGGGAGTCTCCCCCGTTGACGGGGCTCCACCTCTGAAGTTGCTTCGGTGGGGGGGCCCCAACCACCGTTCGGTCGCTTCTTCGGATGTGGGCCAGGAGGCCCTAGGCCCTAGGGATCTGTCGTCATGTCGTGTCATGTCACATGTTCGATCACGTCTGAAGACGGTCCCGGGTCGGGTCGTTCGACATAGACCGTCCGGTCGGTCGTGCCCTGTGAAAAGAGAGTGCTGGGTCCCTATAATGGTCCAGGGAAATCCCGTCGTTCATGCTGCTTTCGGATCGTCTTTCTGGGGCCAATCTTTCGGTCCCTGCCTGGCTGCCTGGGGGACCTGAGCTGGACTCGACTGAGATGTCGAGACTTCACACGTTGAACACCGGCGAACCCGCCGGCGGAGTTCGGCCCGTCGTCCGAGGGGCAGCGCCGTGGAGATGTCGCGGCTCCGATCGTCTGGCGCTCAAGCAGTGCTCCAGGAGGGTCGCGGGTCGCGGGTCGTTTGGCTGCGGATGATGCTTTGGGAGGCGCCCTTTTTCCGGTGTGGTTGATTGGAGTTGAATGAAGTAAGTAGGGAGAAGCCAAGTTACTGGATGATCTGGATGGATGTTGGCATTTTTTGCAGGAAAGTGTTGGGGGAAGATTTAGGTGCCAAATGCTCCTTGTGCGTCATTTTCGAAAGAGCGGGTTGCAGCAAGGTGATGTAAGGTGGATGTGTAGGGTTGGTCATTCCACATTTCTATCATCTGCGTTTGGCGGTTTTCGGGTTGATGGTGAGTTATTTCTGGTTCTTGGGTGAATCCCCTGGCCTGGGGTTCCTACCCAGATGCGACTAATGGGACTGCCATAGGACTGCCAACCCGTTGGAGTGGTGCCAGGGGGGTCAATTGATCGGCATATATTCCAGTCCCATGGAGTGTATGGGAGATGTTTCGAAACATTCATGTATGGGATATGGTTCCGATCAGCAAGTCGAAGCAGTGTTTTCAGGGTTCCGATCAAGCGCGTGGAAAGATTCAATGCACGACTGAATCCAAGCCACGCAATCAATTTGGACAGCGCGTTCAAACCAGGAGACGTGCAGGAGAGGTGGAGGACACGAGTTTTGTAGCCTTTTTTTGAGGTAAGCAGATCTTCCAATTGGGATTAAAGACCATTAAGTGGGTTTCATGGGTAAGTTGCAAGGCAAAAGTACAATGACCGGTGTTTTGTTTACATCAGGCAACAATGACACCCATTGCTTTGGGGGGGAATGGCCCGAGGGAGAGAAAGGTAGATCAACCAAATCCACCTGGACCTGTTGGACCCTTCGTACCTTGAAGCTGGGACATGACCTGAACAGAAACATGGTAGTAACAAGAAGCTACGAACGGGGCGCTCCTGGCATTACTACTTTCGGAACAGGAAGCTATACGAACGTATATCATTTATATTGCATCATATTGTGTCCCTTGTTGTGTGAGGTACTAAACAGGTGGACTCTGACGGCACGTGAGGTGTCTGACACTCCACGGGTCAGAGAAGTTCACCACCCAAGAAATGGTCATCATTCCCAGACACTCCATGTATGCCATATTTCCCTACATTGGGGTGGTTTCAGGGGTTAATCTAGGCATATATGGCAGTCCCATGGAGTGTCTGGGATTTGGGTTTGTCCCAGTAAACCGGTAGAGCCGCCGGTCAACGAGCGTTCCACTGTTGAAATGAACGCCTGCAACCTGGGCCCATCATCATCCACTGGGTGGATGAAATGGATAGATCCCCAGTCATCATGGTCAAACGTTCCTCCTCCGAGTCGCCACGGGGTCGAGTCCTGGTTTTGACCCACCCTTTGTTGTGGAGAAGATTCATGGATTCCCACACCATCAATTACACCAGTCACCATCCATGTATGAAATGTATGCCTACATTGACCCGTCAAACCACCCCAGTGTAGGTCAATATGCCCTATATGGATGGTCTGGCACTAGTCTCACTGCCCTCAGGACATCTTGGTCTACCATTCGAACGACATCCAGTGCCTTGCCATTCGATTCGCTCTTTTGCAGTAAGGTTTACAGTACCATGTCAGGCGACTGTTCATGTTAGTTTGTTGTTGGATGCACATATACCTGCAGCCTTGTGGTTGCTGTTTTTTGGTCGGTAGTTCAACATACCTTCAAGAAGGTCTGTGAACCTTAGAAACATCCGCAACTGAAATAAGAACTGCTTAAAAACAAAAACACGTTGGGACACAAAAAAGGCAAACAAAAGCCTGTGGCTGTGGCTTACCAATAAACGCCCTTGGTCTGTGTATAAACGCTCGTGGAACATCAGAAAAATCTGAAAACTAGAGAAACATCCGCAGACTCAAATACAACAAAAGATGTTTTGCACGCCGCAGAAGAAAAAAAGATGCACTCTGAGCAAGTTCCAGGTATACGGTATGACTGTATTGTAATATAGTTTGGTGCTTCCTCACAAGCTTTGGTATGCAGGAATTGGTTCATAGATCCATCGCTTTGTCAATGCCGACATGACTTGAACGGACAGGAGGCACAGAGCTAAACCTGAGCACATCAAAACCATGGAAGAACTGCACTGCATGGAGAACATGGAGAAGGTGTGACTGGGTGTTCTCCATGGCGAAGTTGTCTAGTCGACATGGGGTGGTTTTACTGTGGTGTTGTATGTGGGATATGTGGACCCCCCAAAGTGTTTGAACAAATGATTGTTTGTTGGCATGGCACTGGAATGTTCACGTTCACCATGTTTGGGGGATTTTTTTCTGGGGTGTGAAAGCACACCTGCTTGACGATGCTCCTGTGAGTATGTAGTCACACAAAGTTCAAGGGCATTTGACAGTCAAACCAGTCCCAGACACTCCGCTTGTATGGTATGTATAACCTCCATTCATGCCTTTTCAACCACCCCAATTGATTGGCGAATATGGCAGTCCCACACAGGTCGCGTGTTGGATATGACCGTGGATCTCACCCACAAAGGTTGCCACGTAGGTCAGCGGTACTTGCAAAGAGGTAGTCAGCCTAGTCAGCTGTAGATTTCAAACCCACACCATCCATGGGACTGGAATAGTTATATAATTTCAGTACCTACATTGGGGTCACTTGAAACTGTGGTTTTCATGTATGTATCTGATCTTCAGTCCCAGACATCGTCGTTTGGTCTGGGGTACCGCACCAAGGTTGGACAAGGTGGCTCGCCAGACCATCCCCTTCCTGCGAGGATGAGCAAAATGAGTCGAAACCGAGAGCAAGTGGACGGTGTGTGTTTGCGTGGCAGGACGAGTACAGCCCAGCTGAGCTAAGAAAAAACCAGACAAGCAAAGGCTTTGTCATGTTCCTTCCCTTGGTTGGACGTCTCCGTCTCCATCGTCCCTTGGTTGGTTTGCTTTTGGACGATCACTACCAGGCCCGTGGACCGAACGCTCGGCGGAGGTTCGAGCTGTGGCATCTTCGATGGGGAGCAGCTCACGATCCCAGTGACGGCGCCGTAGCGGCGAAGCCGTTCGGCGCACACGCGGCGAACTTCGGCCAGCGAATCGCGAGATCGCAGAGGGAGAGCAGTATAGAGGTGGGGGTGGTGACAAGTCAGGTAGATGGTCAGAATATTGGTGAGACTGGAATAGGTATGACCACATGCAGGGGTCATTGTCATGGTGTAAATGTGTGACTCTTCCATATGGATGGTTTGGGCTTGGTCAAAAGTCAAAATGGATGTTGTCACCTACTAGGACCATCGTGTTTGGATGTCATTACTATCTATACTATTTGGATCTCCAGGACACCCAGTTCATTCTCTTGTTTTTCCATGTCCCATTTGGCAGAGCACTTGAGAGGCTCCAGCTCGAGCCCTGTTTCTCCATTTTGCTATCCAAAAAGACGTCCGCCTGGGAGAAACACGAGAGGCCTCAAGTGTCCAGGACTCCCTTAAGCCCCCCTTAAGCCCCTCCCGTTCCTCTCCGATCTCGATCTGAGCTCGAGACACGTTGGTTCCCATCGGCAGGGACCTAGACTGGATGATCGCGACGTGGTTTGTCCCGTCCCAGACCATCAATGTAGCTAGCTAGTAACGTAGTAACTTTGCGCTTGTTACTAGTAGCGTAGCGATGCCCTTTGTTACTAGGAGCTAGCCAAATATAGGAGGGTTTTGCGGATCAGGATGTTTTTTATGTTCCCTGTGGGTACATTGGTAAATCCTCTTCTGGTAATTTGTGTTCTTTTTCCGAGGTTCCAACTTTAGCAAATTCATGTGTACGGAATAATTACTTATATTAGTCAGAGGCAAACAGATGGGTAGTGCACAGGAGGGCTTTGTCAAAATCTAAAGCCCTTTCTCCACACACCCTCCATTTTAGCCTTCTATTAGCGTCATAAATGGAGTAAGTAACTAGTCCCATTCGTTCTATAGGTTTTGAGGACCAAGGCTGTTCGAAGCATCTAGGCTTGATGAATAACCCCTCTCCAATTGGGAGAGTCAAAGCCCTTCGGATTGCAGACCTCACTCGCGTGGGTGACATGCTCTCACATGTTTGCGTAAGCGTCTTCTGTTTAGCCAGTACCGGTCTCTTCCGTTGGCGTCTCCTCCCCAACACGACGTCGCGGCTGATAGCGTCCAGGGAACGTGGTTCCCTGTTCCCTTCTGCAGGTGCCCAAAGTCCTGGTGCCGCCCTGTGGACATGCGTTGCACACCCTTTGCATCGGCTCGGGTCCCCAAGAGGTGAACGGGGCAAAGCTCGGAAAGTCGGTGGGTGACATGGTCGGTTTTTCAAGGGCATCGGTGTGGAGGGTTTAAGCCAACCACTGTGGAACTGTAGGATTTGACGCGAATGGCCAGTGAATTTGTGGCATGGCTTTCAAAGGGATGTCAATGGAACCCTGAGGATTTGTCACCATGGCAGAGTTGGTGTGTGAGACTTGAATATTGAGAGCACCGCAACACAGTCCCAATTGGTTCGACGAACGGGCAAGCCCAGGAGGCGAACGTCACATCTTAGGAGGCCAACAGGCCTTTGTGAAGCTCATATAGAGAGCACCAAACAAACCTAGAGAAGGTTTTTTTGCAGCGAAGACGAGCCGCTCCCATTGAACTTTTGACACCGCGAGGTGTCAACTTAGAAGCCAAAGGTGAGAAGATGTGAGACGTGTTGGAAAAACATCTGCGGGGGCCTTATAGTGAGTGTCCTCAGTGTCCTTAGTGGTTGCCATAGTGTGTTCTGCTTGAGATCGGATGTGGCCCAGAATGAGGCTTAACCGGGGCCCCACCGTGGCTTCACCGGAGCCACCAATCAAGCGCAGTCACCGTCTCACACACAGGCACTCAGTTGATCCACACGTCAGAGCCATTTGGGTGTGTATTGTATTGCAAGAAGGGAGACCGATCTTTTCCAAAAAAAACACCCTTGCTTTTGCTCGTTCGTTTCCTTTTTTTCAGGGTCTCTTTAGAAGGTCTCCCTGGCCAATTTCAATACACACCCATTTGGCCAGAAGTAAACTTTGTTGCTTTCATACGCTACCGAGGGGTTGTAGTGAGCTTCAACTTGGAAGAGCTTGATTGGCCGTATTGCAACCTGAACCTTTGATTCAACGTTTAACAGCAGGGATCACCCTATGTGGTACCTGGGAGGTCAACCGGACCACCCTGGTCGGTGTGGCTTGGGCAAGTGTGCACCGGATCCGCACCCCCCGTATGGGCGGGTATAGTAAGGGGAGATGAACACTGGTGTGTCCACATGCAATATACATGAATTAGCACAAAGATTGTGGTATCTCACAAAGAAAGTGTGTACGTCAAGACTTGTGTGAAACGTCACGTGTGAATTTAGCGCGAAAGGAAGTGGAATAAAGCTTCATATTAACAATTCATGGTGCGATAGGTGTGGAAGGGCTCTGGGTTTTGACCCACCGCCATGTGTTGAGATGCCTGCTTGAAATTCCTGGTTCTTTGGGTCTCTTGTCAACTGTTTTTTCCCCAAACACTGTGGTCACACTAGGGGTTCTTACGGTAGGTGTTAAGGGCCGGTGTTTAGTCTAGTCGAGGTGTCGCGCGGTCGGGTCCGGCTAATTCGTTGCTATTTACAATACATTCATGCCTCTCGAAATCCTCGAAGTGCATTTCGACTGCGCGACAGGTCCCAGGATTTTGTGGCAGGCGCAGCACTTTGGACATGGTGGTGATCTTCGACGCGCTCTAAGTTCGGGACAAGTGCAATGAATCGTGACTTTTGGACATGTGGGTCGGTTTCAGAAGTCGGGGGAAGTCTCGCGCGAAAGCTGCGTTTTGGAATCTTGATGTTGTCTTTGAAAGCGCTCTTGCGGCAAAACGCCTTGACGGGCACAGCACTTTGTGAACCTCGAAGTGCAGATTTCGTGGCATGCGCAGCAATTTGTGAGGGAGGCACTGGAGGCACAGCACTTTTTGCACCTCGACGCTCTCGTTCTGGCTGAAACACATCCAGAAAAGACACACAAGAAGAAACGGTAGAAGAAAAAGGGGGAGGAAGAGGATCAGGAAAGAGGGGTGGAGGGGGCGGGGAGGGGAGAAGCGGAGAGTACAAATGATAGAACACCTTTACGAAGAGTGCCAGTTAGTTAGGCATCGACTAGCTTTAAGACAAGTTGAGGACGGTTCCTACTGTGTATCTTTAAAATGTTGCAATTGTTCTAAACCCTTGCACCAGCCCACCTTGCACAAAACGTTTCTGAATCAAGGGGTTGTCCCAATTATTTTCACGCAGCCACTCGCGGTTGTGGTCAAGTGCTACCCGAGTTTTTTGCTGAAAACATGTGAACAGCTGGATTCTGTGCCAATAACACTCGGTTCTTAATCTGCAGGTGAGCAGATTATCCCCAATGACAGCGCGGAGAGCCGTGGGCTGTGTGCGGGACTCAAAGACTCGTGTGGGCTGTGTGCTTCTTTGGCCGACGAGAATCCACAGATCGGTGCGTCCTCCGGAACAGTTCCATACATGAAAACCCCATGAAAAGGACCGCAATGTATCCCAATGTTGGTAACTATTCCTGTCCTGTTCCAGTCTGGTCTGGGTATGCCTAAAGAACCCAAGACCCTTGTGGACCCAAGTCGGTCTTCCAAGGGGCCATGTTCTGCTTCCATGTTTGTTGGGTGGCGTATGACTTGAAATCCGTTCATATCATTTAACCTTTTTTTTGCGGGACTGGTTGCCCCACCCAAAATAAGCTGGCACAAGGTTCACCTTTTCTTTTCCAGGGCAATGCCTCGGGAGTGGGCTCAGGCCCTTGCCAGTGAATGCAAAACAAGGTGTTGTTTTGTTGGCAGGTGATCATCGCAGAAAAAAAAATACAGTAACCGCATTCTGCAACTAGGATGAGGCTCGGAATTTTTGCATTTGTTTGTTAACACTCAACAGTTCAGTGCAGGTCTTAGTTTTAGCTCCCTCCCACAGAGTTTGATGCCACACAACACAGCACATCAAACAACTATCAAACAACCTCATCAGAGGCCTTAACACACACACACAGCGCACTGAACATGTTTTGGGGTGACTTGTTCTACCTCGTTGCTGGAGTTTGATGTGAATGCAGGTAAAGCACTGGCCACCGGACCATGAAATCATTTGGCATGTTCAACATGAGATATTTACCCTAGGGCTCCCGTCATACTTCCTCAGGTTCGGTATGACTGGACCCATCTGGCACCCACCCCAGTCCCACCGAAACGAAACGGTTCGGTACGACTGGAGCCCTGCCGGGTATCTATTCCAGTCCCATTCGTCAGGTCTTTCTTCAACAACGCGGACGTGTTTCCACCGGCCTGCACGGGTGAAGCGTCCGGCCCTGACACCTACAGGTGTTCCCTTCGCACCCACCTTCGGGCCGGGTCTCTATCTATCCCTAGGGATCCAGTCGTACGTCCTCAGAAGGTACTTGGACCCTCCTGGCACCTGCATAAGCAGTCTCCAATCACCGTACCTGACAAGGTACGACTGGATCCCTAGGGTATGCCCCTTCCAGAATTCGATTCACATCGATTCTCTCCCCATTCAGTGCTGGTCCTTGGTCTCACGTCCACGAGACCCAGTTTACGAGGCCGGCAGTGTGGGCAGCCCTACGGCTGGACAGGGATCGATGTGCCTTGGCGTCCTGTTCTCACGTCACTTGGACCCTCCACAGCCACCCCAGTCCCACCTTTTGAGAAGGTACTTGGATCTGTAGGGTTTGTATGTTCCTGAACCGGCTAAAAGGCCAACACGTGCGGTGTGTGACGAACTCAGAGAGAATGTGTGACTACTCTTACGGTGTGGGACGACTTTTTTCGACCCTTTTTCTTTGTTGAACATTGACGACTTTTTTCCAGGTTCCGGGACAGCACATCCAAGAAGACCATGTTCCTCGACGTCGCCCAAATGGTTCCAACTCCAACTGGCGAGTACTTGCACCATGTGTATACAGAGTCGAAGGTGCGTCATCCCCAACTCATTTAG